ATTTATTTTTTCATCTTGAGATCCTTTGACGTCATCAACTACTCGAGTTCCACTCAAAACTCACATCTGAGCCGGACGTGGACACTTCACCTGTGCTTTATGAACCATTTGAGGAAGAACTGGTCTATGCAGCCATTTCATTGTAAATGAGAACTGGTTCTTACTGGACCCACCTGGAATAGCAGCATTCAGGGAACATCAAAATTCATCAACGTTACTTTATTTTGAAAAATGTAAAGATTTGGCAAGTCAGAGATGGAAGAATAACTTTTGTGTTAAATAGTGTGTATGTTTTTTTATATTGCTTCAAATTAGAATATAAATACTTTTGTTTCAAGGAAATAAACCTTGAAATCCATTTTCTTTGAATTACACCTTTGTTCAAGTTCAAGTATCTTTATTGTTTATCCATCACATGTGGTACATGAGGTCGAACAAAATTATGTACACAGCGTCCCAGTTACACCCAAAAAATAACAAAGTATTAAGTATAAAAAGAAACAGTAAATAGGTATCTAAGATATACGCTAAGATATCCACTAAACAAATGCCAAACGTTACGCTAAAAGATCCAAGATATAAATGAAACACTAATAATGTAAAACAATATGGCAAATCAACGGCAGCCCAAACTTTGGGTTTTGTTTATTGCATTTATGATTTGATGCTACAAAACAAATAAATGTAAAAGGTACCAGATCATTGTAATACTTGTTGTATTTATACCATGGATTTAACTGCTGGATGTCCGGCCCCTGAGCTGCTGGCTCTCACTAACTGTAGCCACCGGAGCAGTTTGGTTGAACAGCTCTGCTGCAACGTGTGTAATGTTAGCTTGAAAAGTATGGACTCATTCCAGGCATTATTCCCTTTTGTGAAAACTTAACTCCACACATTTTTATCAGGGCCCCCCAGGTCCTCCAGGCCCCCCGGGACTGCCTGGACAACCAGGAACCCCTTCTGCAGGCATTTCTCCAGGATCTCCTGGAAAAGAAGGAAAGGATGGAGCGAAGGGTGAACCAGGGCTCCCTGTGAGTTTACTGTTCCCTTTTTATTTCTTTTTCACACTAATAATCCAGTCATTAGTTTAATCTGAATTTAGCTTCAAGCAGCTTCTGACTGGCTCACCACAACACCTCAGCCTTTAGCCAATATTTATATGTGTATATATACACACATAATTGTTGGTGTTTTTCACCCATGCTGACGTTAAGTATACAAAAAGAAGACAAAAAACAATCCCTCCAATAGGAGATTTAAAACATATTTATTTATTTGTTTATTTTTGCAAATGATAATCTAAAGTGGATGTGGCTGAGAAATAAAGGTGCCATTCTGAAATGGGCCACAAATAGGTTGAAATAAAAACAAAATGCTGAATACATTCAATACCTTACGTTATGTTTTTCCCAAATCCTGTCATATTTGTATTTTTCCGGCTGCACTAGGACCTGCAGTCTCTGCAGCTGTGCCATCAGTTGTGGGAAATGCATCTTTCTTTTTTAAAGACGTCTAAAAGCTTTTACTGAGTGTCTAAATGGACCATTTACAGTTTAACAGTAATTACAGCTGTTTAGTTTTATAAATTATTCATCAACTTCTTTATATTTTAGTAACTGAAACATTATTGTAAAACAGCTAAATCTTTAAAATGTATTATAGTTGTTGTTTTTTCCACTCTTGCAGGGAGTGGATGGAAGGGACGGAGATCCAGGACCTCATGGAGAAAAAGGAGACAAGGTGAGGCTAATATTTCTCCTAGTGCACTCTTACTGAGTCCATAAATGTATTTTTTAAATCAATTTGAGATTTAAAACATGATCTGAATCCAAGCTCTTCTTTTAGCAGCTTGGACTTGTCTTTTGCTTGCAGTGTTTTGTGTAAAGTCCCTCTGCCTTCTCGTGTGCAGGCCTCCAAGCGCTCCGTTAACAACAAAACAATTAAAAATGAACTATAACACAAAAAGCTAAAGCTCTTAATGAGGAGAGCTAATAAAGCCGAGTGACTCGAGTGTAAACCAGTCTGTGGTTAATGCTGCGCTTCTTAATGCAAACCAGAACCAGGAGTGTCTCGAGTCAACAATGCAGCTCATTTGATTTGATTATGATCCACTGGCTTGTTAACAGGGGGCGCCTGGTGTGAGCGGGCAGCCTGGACCAAAGGTAAGAACTACTTACTGCTTCTTTGAAAGGATAATGGACCATCACCAACATTAATAATACTAATTATGCTTGTTTGACTCTACAGTTTATTCAACGTGGTATTTAAACAACCCCTTAGAATTTGTCCCTGTAGATTTGGTGTTGTGATGTTTACGACTAGAATGTGTGCACTGAGGGGGGTGTAACATGTTGATTTTGTCTCCTTTAGGGAGATCAGGGCCCACCAGGGTTTCCAGGTCTGCCAGGGTCACCTGGTCCCGAAGGGCAGCCTGGTCCCAGAGGTCTACCTGGACCCCCAGGCCCCTCAGGAAGAGGCTTTGTTGGGACGTTTGAGGTATGCTGTGTTTTATTAAAGCATTTCTGAGCTAAATGGGCCAACATTTGTGGAGCGATGGGCACAACATGTAGGCTAACATCAGTATTACTGCGTGAATGTTTCTGAAGCATGCGCACCACTGTGATCCATTTTTCTTTTGTACGTTTTTAATCATCTTGTTCCACAATTTTTGTGCTATTTCAACAAACCATGCATCAAAACGTTCAGCTTTTTCAGGACGATCCTGCTGTGACTTTTGGTATTGGTGCAACTTTAGCTTTTTGAAATATTTAGCCTTTTCTTGTCACGTTCGGCCGTCAGGAGTGTTTGAACCCACGTGCAGGAGGATGACGAGGACGCTCGAGGAATAAAAAAAAAAAAAGTATTAAACAAAACAAAATCAAAGTGCTGACAGGGCAGCTACTCACAAAACTGGAAACAAGCAGATCAGGGCTGACAGGACAAAAGGCTGAACACGACACCATGGAAGGATAATCCCGAGACAAACACAAGACACCAGTGAACTGAATATATACACACGCTGATTAGGACAATGACAGACACCTGCAGTGATTAACATGAGACACAAGGGAAACCACTGAGTGCTGGAAACAGACAGAACCAAAACCCCACAGTACCCCCCACTCAAGGGATGGCTCCAGACATCCCAAGGACAAGCTACATCCAACTTGGGTGGGACAAACCAAGACAGAGAAACACATGGGACCAGAAGAACAAAAAAAAAACGACGCTCATCCTTCAAATCTTTAGATGTGTTTAAAACTTTTTACAGCTCCTTTCACATTTTGTTCTGCTTCAGCTTCTTTCAGCTTCCTGCTGCAAATTTAAACTTATTTTTAGCTACTTTCAGCTGTTTTTTCAGCTGTTTTGTGCTCCTTTCAGATTCTTTCTGCTAACTACAACATTTTTGTGCTTCTTCTAACTTCTTTCTGCTAATTTCAGCTTGTTGTGCTCTTTTAAGCTTATTTAAGCATGTTTCAGCTTTTTTTGCTATTTTAGCTACTATTTAGCAGTTTTATGCTAATTTTAGCTTTATCAGCTAATTCCACATTTTTTTTCCACTCATTTCAACTTTTTTCTGCCCAATTCAGCAAAAATGTGATCTCTCTGCTCCCTTCTGCTGATTTTAGCTTCATTCTGCTTTTTAAGCTAATTTTCAGCTTTTTTTTTTTTTAGGTAATTTACACTTTTTTGTGCTAATTTCTGTTTCTTTCAATTGAGCAAGCATGCTTGTTCTGCTTTTTTCTACAAATTTAAGCTTGTTCTACCTGTTCAGCTACGTTTTTAGCATTTTCTATCAAAATTAGGCTGTTTTCAGATAAATACAATTTTTTTGTGGTAATTTCTGCTACTTTCAGTCCAATTAACCTCTTTCAAATAATTTCAGCTTGTTATGCTCATTTCAGCTTATTTCTGCTAGTTTCAGTTATTTCTGCTATTTCAGCTACTATTTAGCTGTTTTTTATGCTCAGTTTAGCTTTTTCAGCTAATTCCACGTTTTTAGCTCTTTTCAACTCTTTTTGCTTCCTTCTGGCATTTTAAGCTTCTTTCTGCCTTTCAGCTACTTTTCAGCCATTATTTTGTCATTTTCAGCCTTTTTTAGCTAATTTCCTAATTTTTGGTGCCAGTTTCTGCTTATTTAAACTCATTTCAACAAATATGTGTTCTTTCTGCTTTCTTGTGCTAATTTAGGCTTGTTCTTCTGTTTCAGATACTTTTCACCATGTTTTTAGCTAATTTCAGCTGTTTCTCAGCAAGTTCTTCTGCAATAAGCATCCACACTGCATTTTTGCAGGAAAAGCAGTTTCTCTAGTTTTTTGTAAATTAATAAAACAGCATGGCCGTAGAACATCTGCACACTTGCTTTAGCTATCTGCTATCTAAAACGTGCCTCAAACAGAACAAAGCTTATTCTTTTTTAAAATATGACCATTTAAAACTTATCATTGCTTGTTTTTTACTTATTTTCTTGAGGACCTGGAAGGATCTGGGATGCTGAGTGGTCTTGGACCCATCCCTGGTCCACAGGTACAGTTGGGTATTATCTCAATGTGACATCATTTAACACAACCACACAAAGACAGTTTTGTCACACAAGCTTTTACAATGGTTTGTTTTTGCAGGGCCCTCCAGGAACCCGTGGACCTCAAGGACCCAAGGTCAAACATTTCCGTTTGTTTTGATGTTTTTTCTTTACAGCATTTCTGGGATTTATCTTTATCCTCGCCTCACAAGGTTTATTTGGTATTAGTTGGCAGAATTTTGAGCTCAAAACCTGAGTTGTCTTTCTTTTTCTCCTCCGTGCCTTTTTAGGGTAAAAATGGTTTGGATGGGATCCCAGGAACACCGGGCCAAAAGGTGAGTCTATAATCGGCTGTCATCTTGTTCCACTGCTCTTCTATAGATATTAAAGTTAGCTTAGCACAGATCCAGGCTTTTTGCTGTTTGTCTTCACCGCTTACCTCACTTTAGTCTGCACCATATATTTATCCATCTTTAAGACTAAGCCTGCATAATCCCAAACATGTTTTGAATGATTTAGTCATATCAGAGTAGCTTCAGAGTTTTCTGATGACTTTTGTAGGGGGAGCCAGGTGTTAGAGGACCACCAGGGCTTCCTGGTCTCGGAGGACTGAAAGGAGCACAGGTTAGTAATATTCAGGATCCAGACTGTCCAATGAGCTTTGATACCGACTGTTGAATAATACAAATGATTGACGATTCTCAAGAATAAAAATCCAGCACAAGGATTACTGTATAAAGCAAAATGTGTACTGAAAAACAAAATCGTAGATTTCTACTACTGTTAAAGTATAAACCTACTATAAAAAAGCTTAATAATGCACATGCAACATCTCATAAAACGTATTTGACTTGCCAGTCCATAACATTATCAATGAGTCATCAACGTGTTGACTTTTAACTCAATAAGTTAAGCATCTTGACATTCATAGTCAAAGATTTGATTTGTCTCAGGTGTTGCAGATGATGATGGGAACAGTAACATGGTGTTATATTACAAGTTTTTCTTCTATCTGGAATATGACTGAAGCCCTCAAAAAAATCTTTCAGTGCTGTTTCTGTTACAGTAGTCCCTCGTTTATCACGGGGGATCCGTAATCTGAAGACCCGCGATGAGTGAAAAACCACGAAGTAGGAATAGTAGTTCAAGTAGTAGTCTATTTTAGTATATATATATATATATATATATATATATATATATATATAGGCATTCTAAACCTTTCCCACATTCTTGTAATATTTTAAACAATGTTTCTAAACTCTAAACACTCTAAAAAACACAGAATGTCATGGACTCAGCTCTTAGCCACACCCACCTCTCCGCTGCAGCACGGAGATGGACAGAGGAGGAAAGAGGAGGGAGAAGGGGCTGCAGTAAGATGTTTCTTCTGCAGGGTGGGCTGCACATAGAGTTGCACTCAGGTCCAACATATCCAACCCAGCCCACAGGCATCATCTCCGAACTCCACCTGATCCAACGAATTAACAGTAATTGCTGGTCCTAACCTGACCCCCCCACCCTCCAACATTTTTAATTAAGCGTTGACTGCTTATACCACCGACTATTATTAACGGTTGGCAAACGCACGCGTCTGAGTAAAGGGGGCAGGAGATCGGAGCTGAGGAGCCATCAAAGTGCAGTAAATGCTTCCCCAACATCTGCCTGCAGTGAACCCTGCTCTGACATGTTGGATATTTTGTGATCTCACCTGTTTGGGTCGTTGGCCACGCGCGTCCACCGAGTGCAGCGGCTGAATGAACGTCCATTTGGGCTGATGGATCGCTGGTGGTAGTCCATCTGAAGCTTAACTGAACTTAACGTTTTCAACCGGCTGGTCATAATACGGTCAAATGGCCGCGTGTGGCTCGTGAATGTATGGCAAGCCATGTTCACATATAATTGGATCGTCCGCAGTAAAAAGCCTGACGCAGTAAAAAGCCCGACACCGATCCGGCCCACACATTAAATGGCCCGGCCCAGTCCGAATCCGAGTCGGGTGGGCCGGGCTCCGGGTTCGGCTTAGAAATGACAGCTCTAGCTGCACACAGGTGCAGCAGGTGCTAAATAATTTAAAATAATTAATTTAAAATAAAAATTCCATGCTGATTGTGTGGCTCATCCATCAATCAGGTCTGTAACCTGTTTAAATAAAGGTTGAATGAAATCAGCCAATTGTGTGTCATGTTCAGTCTTACGTTGAAAAACCACGGCAGAGCGAGTCCGCACAAAACGAACTGCAAAGTTGCGAGGGACTACTGTATCTGCTTTTTTGTCTTAACATACAAACATATTTAGTCAGTTTTCTTGAAAAACATAGTCAAGACTCAAGGTTTTATGATATGAAGGAACCAACAAAGACCACATCTAAGCAACAAACTCCTCTTTGCCACGCTCTACACAGAACCTGTGAATTTTCACTCTCAACTCATACACTCCAGTCTTCAACCAAATTATGTGAAGGAGGCTAAGTAGCCAAAGATGATCTAGCTTAAAATCTCAGTCTTTCTTATTCGGCTGTTTTTCTGGGCAGCTGTGGCTGAGTGGTTAGAGCAGTTGTCCTCCAATGCAAGAGTTGGGGGTTCGATTCCACCAGCATTCACATGCTGAAGTGTCCCTGGGCAAGACACTGAACCCCTCATTGCCTCTGATGTGTGTCCCATAGGTGAATGAATGTGATAAAGCTCTGATTACTCTTTGTAGAGATCTAGTATAGAGCTGTATGAATGGGTAAATGAGGCACAGATTGTTGTAAAGAGCTTTGAGTATCTTGATCAGATAGAAAGGAGCTGTATAAGTACAGTCCATTTATTCTTCTGTTTCTGAGGATCAGTTGTTTCACTCCAAAGGTCACAGAAACACCGAGGCAGAGAGAGTGTGCTTAAAGAATCACAAGCACAAACAACAAAAAGCTTTGTTCAAGCCCTTAAACTATCCCTCAACAGGAAAGTTAGATTTTTACTTTAGAAATAACAGAAATGGGATATTTGTGTAAAAATATATGAAACTATTAAGCGTAGTGGAAAAAGAAACAGTTCAAACCTACCTAATCTTAAAATGAGTCAAATTCTCTGTGTTAAAAAACAGATCAAATCAAAATGTTGTAACTTAGTGTGAGGGGGTGGGATGTCAGCAATTGTTTGATAAGAACATCACATACCTTTTCATATTCAAAAATGAGATGGATTTGTTCTTTTTTTATTTACAGGGCCAACAAGGGGACAAAGGTGATGCAGGACAAAAGGTGAGGTCCACCCTGAGAAGGTTCATCAGCATGTGGTTCTATTTATTGAAGAAAAAAAACTAAACTTGCTAAACCGTCGTCTTTTTACAGGGAGAAGCTGGACGAGATGGGCTCAGTCTCCCTGGTCCTCCAGGACCACCTGGACCTCCGGGTCCTATTACCAACCTTCAGGATGTAAGTGGCTTCACATCTATTACTTCAGACCATTTGTTTTTCTTTTGATCAACCCGTTTCCAAACCCCCCACCTCCACCGTAATATATACTGAAGTTTTACTAACAAAGGTCCTCCCTTATCTTCGCAGATACTGCTTAATGCTACTTTTGGCGCTTTCAACCTCTCAGGGATATTTGAAGCTCAGGGATCTGCTGTGAGTATCAGACAAAAACATTCCACTCAGATGTCTAGTTTCCTGATTCAAAATATAAAATCTATTAGATATGACATTTAAGAAAGTTTACATTTGAAGTTATTCTAATGCTTTGTTTCCAACATAGGGACCACAGGGTCCAAAAGGTGATATCGGGTGGCCAGGTTTGCAAGGACTTCCAGGACTGAAAGTAAGTGGATTCCACCATTATCCTGGCATGCAGTATCGACCTATTAAACTAAGACAATTAACTTAATTTATCTTCCTTTTTTAAAGTGTGTGCACACATATCCATATGGTAAACTCATGTTTGTTTGCAGGGCGAAAAGGGTGAGCCAGCTCCTGCCATCGCAGCAGACGGTTCCATAATGTCAGACATGGCTAGGCCAATGGGACCTAAAGGAATTAAGGTAGTATTTCCTGCCAGTGCTTTCACATTTTAGTCTGTTACCCATAACTTTAGATGATGGATGTTTGTGATGTTCTTATCAGTAAGAACCTTTAAATCACAGCAAAGCACATGTATTATTGTTGGCAGGGAGATAAAGGTGTTCCTGGAGCCCATGGGATTGCAGTAAGTATTTAGCGACAGAAACAAAAAGATATCAGTTTGCAATATTATCAAATTATATACTGCACTTTATTTGTAACAGGGGCCAATTGGGCCACCAGGACCCAAAGGAGAATTTGGTTTCCCTGGACGACCAGTAAGCCCCTCTGTTACATAATTAATATACAAATAAAAAAATAAAACAAACACCACTGACCAGTTTGCAAATTGTACAACTTCATCAAAAACATATAAAGAGATTGGTTAAATTAAAAGTAGTTTGGAATTTGGCTTGTATGTTTTGTAGCTAACGTTTTTCTCTGTTTAGGGTCGTTCAGGGATGATTGGCCCCAAAGGAGAGAAAGGGGACCCTCAAGGACTTCCAGTGAGTTATACTCCAGAGATCTGATATTACCGTATTTTTGGGCCTATAAGTCACAGTTTTGTTGCATAATTTGCATACCCTGCGACTTACTGTATATGCTGAAGTGATGTATTTATGGATTTTCCCCCATATTTATAAACCAATTTTTGGCTGAGATATGACTGTTTTCATTAATTCTAACTGAAAATATTGAACACTACTATTTTCAGCCACTAGATGGCACTCGAGTAGTATGCCATTGTGCCATACAATAGTAGCTATTAATGACACAATTAGCTTGCTATAGGCTGCCACTACTGTCCAGCTAGTCTCGAGCAACTGTCAAATCAGCTTCATTTGCTGCTCCGCCCCGGAGTCATGCAGCTAATTGTCATAAGGAGGGACTGGTGTAGATAAACCCAATGGTACAGGCAGGAAGTAGCAGACTCAGGAGAAATATTAAATAAAGGATTTACTTACAAAAAAACGAAAGGCTGTCAAGGCAGCAAGACTTACATGAATTACAAGGCATAGACAGGACATCACCAGTGGACAACATTCAACGCCAGGACAAAGGACTAACACAGAGACACAGATTATATACAGTGACTAACAAGAGAAACACCTGTGAGGACACGCAGCTGAAACACATCAGGGGAAATGATAAACTGGGAAACCAGAGAGTGAAGGAACAGAGACACAAAACCAGATGGAGGCATACACTAGGAAAACACAAACACTATAGAAAACTGAAACTGAGGATAAGAAGAACACAAGACATAAACACAACACAAGATGGGGCTAAACACCAGGAACAGACCAGAGTCCCTACACTAATTTGACCAGTGAAGTGCATTTATTAAGTAAAAGTTAAACTGAGACACACCTTTACTATAATTTCAAGTGAACAAATAATTGCTTTTAGGTGATTATCTTGTTAAATTTCGAAGAAATGCACAGCGAGTCCTCCCATACATGCACCTACTTCCGCTTATCGGCTTTTGAAATGCAGCTGATTTGACCGTCAAAGTGCATTTATTAAGGACAAGTTCAACTGAGACACACCTTTACTATAATTTCCAGCAAACAAATAGTTGTTTTTAATTGTTAATCTTGTTAAAGTCTTGTTAATGTCAGAATCAGAATCGGAATCAGAATATACTTTATTGGAATTGCACCGAGGTACAATGCGAATATGTACGTACAGTCGTCCGAAAGATGGGCGGAGTGCACAAAGCTGCAACTACAGGAGAGCGCGGCCTTCTTATCCTTATCAGATAATAATCTTAGATAGTAAAAGGAGTAGAAACATGAGGATAGATAGTGGTATTACAAAAAGATCTTTCACATCTTGTCTATTAAGACACGGTTTGCGACATCAAAAAACTCTACCAGCAAGCACAATTAAAACATGATTACATTTGCATTTGACATCGAGGTGTTGAGATTTGTCCATGAGCATTTTTTCAGATCAGCCAGATAAGCTTGCACAGAAAGTTCTCGGGGTGGGGGGCACGTGGGGGTATGCGATAAATGAAGTTTTTATCCTTGGGTACTCATGTCCCAGGAGAAGTTTGATAGTCAGCCCGTCTCCGAGGCCATTGGGAGTCAGATTCAGATAAGCTTGATTTTTGTTTTTTCTTCAGGCAGACAGATTTTTTTTCTTCAGCCTTGAGTCCATCTGTGCGTTCTGGTTCCGAAAATGCCTAATTGTGGGATTCCATTCCACTGATCCATGCTATGAGTCTCCTTCAAGGTCGAACCCACCACGCTGACGAGTCCCAGAAGCCGCAGGTGGTCTGCGATTCTCAATCACCTCCACCTTACGGTTAAGCTCGTAAACCAGACGATTTAAAGTTCCCACAGCGAGGACCAGACCTTCACACTGACTCGGAAGCTTTTCCATGGCCGAAACTGCTGCCGCCGTCTTCTTCAAAAGTCGATAAAACAGAGCCCCGCCGATGCCAAAAAGCAGAGTCCCTGCTATCATAATTCCAAATATGTAAACGTCTTCAACATCCTCCTGAAACAGGACTGAGAGACACATCATCTACCACACTCCCCACGAATCCATGACGTACCCCACAGCGTGAGTCTCAGCTGGACACGCCGGTTCTCCAGGACCTTGTCGTTTTGATGAAAAAATCTTATCAATAGAGTTGAACGCCCACGATACCAAATCCATAATCTTCTTAATTTATGTTTGGGAGATGAGACCCAGGCGCTTCAGACACACAGAGAGCAGAGCAGGAAGAAGGAAAAAAAACAGGGGAGGAGAAACAGAAGCTGCCACCTCGATGAGAGCCTGGGAGGAAAGGTTAATGTCCTCCCGTGCATGATCCCGCAACTGCCATTTGGCAGCCAGTCGATTTTTGCCACAACACCGGCCCACATTTTCAGGTTCAGCCCACATTTTCGGGTTGTCAGCTATGACTCAAAACAAACATGACACGTCAGCAGTGACGCATAATAAATGCGACGTATAAGGCAAAGCGACATATTTATGGATTTTTTCCACTTTATTTCACATATTTGGACTGATGCAACTTATAGGGCGGTGTGACGTGTACGGTGGAAAATACAGTACATAAAAATATAGCAGTTAAGACTTGTTTCTTAAAAACTGGGCTTCTTCTGCAAGATATTTTATTTTCTGTTTTTCTGTGTACTTTTAAACAGATTTAATAGTCCTCGTTTTTTATTCTGTTTTGACTGTTTCTTCTTTTCTTAGGGACCACCTGGACCTCCCGGACCCCCAGGTCGTCCAGGAATATTCAACTGCCCCAAAGGAGTAAACATTACTTCATTAATTTTCCACCCCAGTTCTTCTTATTTTTCAGTTATTTTATATGCTTACCATTCTGTTTCTTCTTCTGGTTTTTGAAGACAGTGTTCCCCATTCCTCCGAGACCCCACTGCAAGAAGCCTGTAGGTTTAACAAACAAAACAAAAACCCTGATGTGCCAAAAAAAAGCATGATGCAATTCAAGCTTTCATTACAACTCGATGGGCCTGTTCACAACTCATTTTTTCACAGTGCCCAGTGGAAAAACTCACAACACCATTCATTTGCTTACTTTTACTATTTTTCTTCAATTAATAGGCATGTTATTCTATGTAAGAATGATAATTTCTTAATTTTGATTGCTCAGAACTACTATAAGGTGGTTCCTAAATGTTCCTGTAGGATGTGCTGATGCATGCTCAATAATCCAGGTAGATGAATCTAACAGGTCAGGTCCTCTGGATGGTTTGTTCTTTTCTGAAACGTTTCGTCTTTTATCCAAAAGACAAACAAACAAACTCAGTCCTCTATTTAATAACTGATAGTTATCTTAACAAATATGGCTTCAGTGTAGACTACAGAGGACTCTGCAGTTTACACGTGTCTGCACGCCAGCGATCATTCTTTCGGGGATAAAGATGTGCACATCCTTGACAGAGAGGAACTCTGTTCGAGAGAGGAATAAAGGAAGCCATCTTTGTGAAGAGAACCTGCCCATTGTAAAACAGGGGCCAAGGCCCTCATGTCCAATTGCCCCCCTCTGTTATTGCAAGTATCCCTCAGCCCTCTGTGGATAGCAAGCAGCCATCAGGACACTAGCGATCGGTCGTTAAGATGATGGTCCTCCTCCTTTTGCATGTGAACAACTAGTTTTGGCTGTCACCAACAAACTGGTTGATCCACTATGAGAAGGTGCTGCTAACAAGACTAAAGAGTCCAGCATACTCCATTCAAAGCCAAACTGTCGACTCATGGTCACGTGGTTGCACGTTCATTTTTGCATGCACTTTTCATAGTCCATGAGACACAGGTGCCGAGCTCTTGGGAATGTCCTCCTGCTGCAGTATTCATCATAGCACGGGTTTCTTCTCGCCAGAGTCACCACTCCGTCTCTGCATCTGTGGTTTGGCCACAGATCTATCAAGAAGAAAGCACCACACTTGTCAGCAGACTGACTCCTGCATACACGATGTCTGCACAATCTCTATCCATGCATTTTTGGCCATTTGACTAATTTAGTGTGTTTGAAGAGTCATAGCTGAATGTCCAAGTGCATTTTCACGTTGACAAACATGCCCACAAACTTCTGATCAGTCACACGATATTTGGCACATATGCCTGTGAGAAAACGTTTGGCCTGTTTCTTGTGTCGAGACGGGGCAGGCAAAAGTGCTCTGAGAACAAAATTACACAATTTCCGTCACACAGCTGCGTCAGTGGTAAATGGTAAATGGACTGTACTTCTATAGCACCTTTCTATCTTACCAATATACACAAAGCTCTCTAAAACACAATCTGTGTCTTCATTGACCCATTCATACAGCACTCTACTAGATCTCTACAAAGACTAATCAGAGCTTTATCACATTCATACACCGATGGGACACACATCGGAGGCAATGAGGGGTTCAGTGTCTTGCCCAGGGACACTTCAGCATGTGACTGCTGGTGGAATCGAACCCGCACTCTTGCATTGCACTGCTCTAACCGCTCAGCCACAGCCGCCCCAGTGGGAGCTGATTTTGCTCCTTTGGATGGAGTATGCAGGGCGCTTGAGCTTACGTGCAGCTCCTCAGACTGAAGAAGTCTTTTGTATAACAGACGAAACATTTGATCAAAGAAGAACCCATCCTGAGGACCTGACTGAACTTTGTTAAATCCCTGCACGATGCATGCCACCTCTGGAAAGGTGAGTGCAAAGACCCGATGCAAAGAACTAACCCAGGAAGTCATAAAATGTTTAGATCAGTTGTATGTGTTTGCAGTTGCATGTTGGGTAATGTTCCAACAATACAGACTGCATGAGTCTAACTCATCGTTAAAAAAAAGTTGGTAATTAAACCTGTTGTACGTTCACTCTCAGCTGTTTCTGTTTTTATTTCATTTCAGCTCAACTCTGAAGGAACGATCTCAACAGGTGGGTGGGATCATTTTTGACATTTTTTTACAACTTCACACCCGAATAAAAACTTTAGTTATTGGTTCCTTGCCCTAGTTATAACTGATCAAAGTTAAGGAATACTAAAGTTATATTTTAGTTATTTGTCTTGCTCCAAGGTGACTGCCAGCCAGGACCAAAAGGAGAAAAGGGGGACAGGGGTCTCCCAGGATTACCAGCTCCTGCAAGTAAGCCAAAAACATTACACTCTGAAACAACAGGTGTTTAAGTTTAGCAACTTAAAACAATGTTGAAAGCTTAACTTAAACACTTCCCTGAGGCTTAATTAAAAATCTGTTAAAATTTCTTCTTCACTGCATTTTTTGTCACTACAGGCACATTTTTGCCCAAATCAGCCTGGGTAAGTTTCACACAGGACTTTTCTTCTGTTCGGTCTTGCTAAGACGCCCGCGTTTCATCTTTGTTTGTGTCTTAACCTGTGTGTGTACGTGTGCGTGCACTCCCAAGATGACAATCAGTGACAAAGGCAGCAAAGGAGAGAAGGGACAGAAGGGGGAGGCAGGCCATCCAGGTCAACCAGGCTTCCCTGGGAGATCAGGACTGGTGGTGAGTCAGTGTTTCTGACAAGCTTGCCTGATTTTGTGAAAGAAAATGATTAAAGTGTCTTTTGTTTAGGGCCCCAAAGGGGAGTCTGTTCTTGGTCCTCCCGGTCAGCCAGGGATGCAAGGCCCACCTGGTGTTCCAGGCTATGGTAGACCTGGTTCTGTTGGTCCTCCTGGGCCACCAGGTCCACCAGGGCCCCCTGGGTTCCCCTCTAGATATGGTTCAGGTAGAAGTCTTCCAGCATGCACCAAAAGAGCAATACACAACTAACGTTGTTGCTGCAGTTATTTAGATGAATGAAGCTCTTGTGAATTGTGTTACTTTGTCTTGTTCTGGCAGCTCTGACCATTGCTGGCCCCCCTGGTCCCCCTGGACCAAGTGGCCCCCCTGGTGCTTCAAGTAACGCAGCAACTGTAAGTTGCTCTTTAATCATTCAAGTGGAGGAATTACGTAGTCAAATAAATCACCACAGTAAATCTTTAAAACCTCAACTTATTTTGATGATAATATAAATAAATACATTTAAATGGTGATTGCTTTCAGCTGAAATCCTTTGCCACACGGGAGATTATGATGCAGCAAACCTTGCGGGATGAAGAGGGAACGCTGGCATATGTCAGAGCAACAGGAAGTCTCTTCTTGAAGGTTTCGCAGGGATGGAAGGAAATACAGGTACAATGGTCAATATCTGGCTAAAATGTGCTTTGCATAAATGTGATAGTTGTTAATACTTGTTTAAACTAAAAAAAAAAAAATCAATTTTGCACTGGCTATTCCCTTTGACAAGCCAACATGAAGGAAGGAAAACACATGTTTAGTGTAAAACCTGTGAAACACTCAGTGGCTGAGAAACAGCCTGCCTGTTTGAAAGAATGATTAACGATGCACTTCAGCTCCCATTTATAAAAATCAAGAACCATACACGGTTCTATGAAGAAAAATGCTTTCACTTTTCACTTTATTAAATCATATAACACTTGGCCTGAAACTTGATTCAGTCAATTGTGTGTTTTATAACGTCCCTGACGAAGTGCTGCTTGTCATGTGTCAACAGTTCTGCACTGCAGAGGCAGCGTCCGCTGTAATAACTGGGGATATGTTTTGCTTTTTTCTTCGCAGCTTGGGAATCTGATTTACCTCTCCAGTAATATTATACCACAAGATGAGGTTATTGCATTTTATTTACTCATGTACTTTTAGTAAATACATTTGTGGAGTGTTGTGCTGCTATAATTGTGCCCTGAAGCATCTTTGTTCCACTGGTTTTTCAGCCTCAAGCTGCGTACCATGTCAGAAGAGAGACGGTGCAAAGAATCAGTTCAGCAAAAGAAAGAGTATGTTTTATACAATTAAACAAACAAAAAAAAACTAACGGATTTGTCCTTAGTCACATCCTTTAAACTTGGTTTTGTTGTAGTTATTTTACAATTCTAGTAAAATCCAGAGAGCTAACCTCAGTCTGTTGCTTCCTCTACATGAAGCTGACGCTGGTGGCCTTAAATCAGCCGCACTCAGGAAACATGTTGGGGCTCAACATGGCTGACCGGATGTGTTACCAGCAGGCCAAAGCCATGGGTTTGACTCCCAACTACCGTGCTTTCATTTCATCCATCAGGCAAGATCTGGTCCTTGTCGTCTATCCTGGTTTCCGGGACAATCTGCCAATAACTAATCTAAGGGTACGTTTGCCCTTCGGCTTTTTCACGCTGTTACCCTAATCAAACTGAATGTTGTACCTAAATAGCATGTACCCTATATGTCCCTTCAGGGAGACGTGTTGTTTCCAAACTGGCGATCCATATTCAACGGTGGCGGTGGGCCAATCAACATCAGGATACCTATCTTCTCCTTTGATGGCCGAGATGTTTTATCCGATTCCTTTTGGTTTGTGAACTTTCAGTCCTACTTTTGGATTTTTTGTGTGTCTATTCATGCACTGCGTTGTCGCTCATTCTGTTTATAACTTTTATGGGTAGAATCCCATAGAGATAGGGTGAGAAGTTCAGTTATCTGGGAGAGACTCGGAGTAGAGTCGCTGCTCCTCTTCATTGAGAGGAGCCAGTGGAGTGGTTCGGGCATCTCATAAGGATGCCCCCTGGATGCCATCATAAGGAGGTTTTATGGGTATGTCCAACTGAGAGTAGACCCTAGAGAAGACCCAGGATGCACTGGAGACTGTTTCTCGGTTGGCCTGGGAACGCCTTGACTGGGGATAGAGATGTCTGGGCCTCCCTGTTCAAGCTGCTGCCCCATAAACTGACTCCAGAGCAAGCAGAAGTTGATGGATAGATAGATATTTGTGCACTAATATTTTCTATTTTTCCTCCACTAGGCCTAAGAAAAGTATCTGGCATGGTTCCACCAGCAGAGGCCTCAGAGATGAGGACAGACACTGTGAGACGTGGCAAGCAGGCGACATCTCTGTCATGGGACAGTCCTCCAGTCTGATCTCAGGTCTGCTCCTGGGCCAGCAGACCCGCAGCTGCTCTAACGAATACATCATCCTTTGCATCGAGACACATAAAACCTATTAACTTGAGCCCAGTACCACTCCAGCAAGAAACCTAAGCTAAGCACCAAGAATCTTAAAGACTCAGAGAAAGATGTCAAGACATCAGCTCTTGCACATCCTTGATGCTACTTGTCGCTTTGTTTGGTTTCACTCTAATTGGACCTGTATTTTTGTATGCACAAAAGGATTTTATTACTTTTTAAGAAGTATAAGTTGGTGCAATCTTCTGCAACTAGAATCATTTTACCAAGCAAAAAGCAAAAAATGGATGTTTTGTAAAGAAACTCAACTTGGTGGCACATACGATAAATCAGACTTTGTGGGTTGACCTGTTAACAGGAAGAGAAAATGTGGTAATGAAATTATACATACAGCACCATGACTGCAAAAATGGCTTCAGCTGCAAAGATGTTTTTGATTTATTTATAAAGAACTAATAAAAAGTATCAGCGCTGCCTTTCTTCTGCAGTCATGAAAGTGTGTTGAGAACAAGACTAAAGACTGACAAGCAACTGAGGTTAGCACAGTATTCTCTATATGATTTAAATTGTGGCAGTCCAGAGACGTTTGAGGCTGATATGTTGGAAGCTACTTTTTAAAGGTGTTTACAAGTTGTCTTAGAATTTTTTGAATTATATAAATTTTAAGGGGAAAAACTTTCAAAATCATTGTCCCACAACCAACTAAAAGAACAACCCATGTTGTCACCAGAGTTATTTTTTGATGCACTGTATTTTATTTTATTGTTTTCTGTTTCAACATTTTTTCAAGTGTAGCTGTTCGTACGTTTTAAACATCTTTTCTCATTTTCTTTCTGTCTAGACTTATTTAATTTAAATCGGGTGATTTATTTATACCATCACAGCACATAAAAAAATCAGATGATAAAATGCAAGAAAGTCATTACTTGTTTGTCTCTTCTCACTGTTTGCATTGTGTCTATTTTTGTAAATTTTTCTGTTTTAAGATACATTTTGGGAATTTCATATGAATGTCAGCAGTAGTTAAAATAAAATGTCACCAAAGTTTAAAACAAGTATTCAAACGTACACGAAAAGAGCAAACACGAGAGTGCTTGTTTTGTGTAAATATATGCACTTCCTTGAATAAAGTTTTGTCGTTTCATAAATATTTGTTTCATTTGATGTGGCGTTAAAACAATCATTTCTTTAAGATTTTCTTCAGTTTTGGTTCAACAGCAGCAAAACAAAAAAATACATTGAAGCTGCTGAACTTCAAAATAAGAGCATCAAAAATTTAAAATGTATGCCATATGTTCGTTTAAATAACGAACATAAAAAAATTACTACATATGAAACATAGTAGAGGAGGTATTTGCTGTTTGTTGTTTGACAAACTTAAAACTCACGTTAAATACAAACTTGGATTTAGCAGACTTTTATTCCGAAAGGATTAGACCGGATGTGTCAAACCAGCTGAAACCGAAAGTGTCGGAACACCTGCGCTTGTTCGCCGTCCTCTAAAATGCTCTTAAAATTGCTCTTTGTTTCACTTTTTTCACTTTGCTCTTCGGCTTCCAGGAATGACGAGCCCGTTATTGGTGAGTTTCCTGACATGTTGTTGTTGTGTCGCGTTTTACGAAGCTAGCAGCGTGTCTTACTGGACGGTCACGCGCTGTGTGGTTTGAAGGTGTTCTGGCTCAGGAGGTGTCCTCGCCCAACGCGAGCCACGCAGCTTACGTCGCTGCGTCCTACGTGAAGTTCCTGGAGTCAGCTGGAGCCCGGGTCGTGCCCGTCATGTGAGTGGAGTGGTGGTCCAGTGTCAAAGGTCACTTGTTGTTCTCACGGACCTGCTGTTGTTCACAGGATCAACCTGACTCTGGAGGAGTACACGACGCTGTTCAACTCCGTTAATGGGTAAACTGGTTTATAACCACTAAACATGAAGCATGTGCTGGTGAAGGTGCCTTCTCATTTATTTTATCAGCAGCACTGATTTGTTACATGTCTGTTCAAGTTAAGATGAATTTATTAGAGTGGTGGCGCAGAGGTTAGAGAGGGTGGGCCTGTGAAGGTCGCTGGTTCAACTCCCGTACCGACAGCATCAAAACGTGGGTGGGATTGGTGAAGCACCCACACCTCTCTCCACCCTCATTTGCCCCGCTCTGGGCCCTTGGGCAAGATGAAATGGCTCAGAATTACTTTGTATGTTGGAGTCTTCATTCTTTTGCAGTTATGGTCACTTCACCAATCCACGGGTACAAAAAGAAGCTGCGCGCCATCGATCGGTGCCTTGGTTGGAGGTTGGAGCCACCTAGACACCTGGCTCCAACCCCAGTCCTGAGTTCAGCGTTCACGTTTCTCTCCATACCTTAGCAACCATCAAGTGTGATTTCAGAGATAAACCAGACCAGTTCCTGATCCTTGCCCTTTAGACGAGAACACAGTGGCACAACAGCACAGAGCGTCAGCATGAACGTGCAAGGAGAGGGTACGAAGTGGCCAATGTATGAAATAATCAACACGCACATACAAGTTGAACTAGATTAATCCTACAGGAATATTTAAAGTAAATGACACATGAAGCTGGTTTGATTAAAATGAAGGTATTTTTCCAGCAGCTACATTGTGACTGTAAGTCTCTATTTTAGATATTACAAGTCCAGCGTGTGAAAACATGTCGCTCAGTTAAATCACCGCCTTTTTCACACACAACCCGTGAAATGATGTTTCTGATTTGTGGCATTTCTTTGACAGCATCCTATACCCAGGCGGAGGCGTCAGCATCATCTCCTCTGGTTACCAGAGAGCTGCGAAAATCTTCTACGAGCTTGCCATCCAGGTGAAAATATGTATAGTTGTGTGGCAGTGTGCTGTATTTGGACTGTTGCATCAAATGTGTGATGCTTCAGGCAAACAAGAGGGGGGATTACTTCCCCGTGTGGGGCACCTGCCTTGGCTTTGAGCAGCTGATGTCTTTGTCGAGTGGAAAGAACATGTTGGCGTTCACCAACACGAGCGGCGTTGCTTTGCCTCTGAACTTCACTAAAGGTAGTTATGCATTTGTCGCTTTGGAGAAAACTACAACTTTCTTGATTTTCACTGGTTATTAAAAAAAAAAACATTTGGGAAATGTTAGTTTTACTTTCTAGGCTAATTAGGATTTTCAGACGGTATTTTAGTTGCTTTATGTGGTCTTTTTGTAACTCAAACATCCAAGTTCATGCTCAGTTATCCAGGAAAAAACTCCAGCAACGTTAAGGTTCTCTGGGCGGTTTCTTTTCACGTTTTGTCCTTCATCCAAAGGACTTCATCAGTCCAAGGAGCCACAACAAACTCAATCCCAAAAGTGGATTATTGACATAGTGGGTCGACCAGTTTTATAGTGATAAGGTGGTTTCTGGAGTCCGCCCTCTCCTCCGTCGACTCTGAGGCAGCCATAGCCAAAGTGGTTCAAAACATCCAAGTTCATGCTCAGTAATCCAGGTAACATATCCAACAAAGTTCAGTCAGGTCCTCTGGACGTTTTTATTTTTATTTTATTTGTTCATTTTTATTTATTGTTGAAAACTGGTTGAGTACGCCACTTATGAGACTTGAGTTTGTTGTGGCTCCTCGGATTTATGAAGTCCTTTAGATTAAGGATGAAACGTTTCAACAAGATCAAAAGAAACCGTCCAGGGGACCTGACTTAACGTTGTTGGGTTTTTTGTATAGTTCAGTAACGGTTCATGTAGAAATTCTTAATGAGGACTTCTTTTAAAGTTGTGTATTTGTTTAAAAAGACGATTGACAACCATGATTTTCTTGTTTCCTGTCCAGACACCAGAACCAGCAGGATGTTTAAACATTTTCCTGCTGAACTCATGGCCGCTCTGTCGTCAGAGCCTCTCACTGAAAACTCTCATCACTGGAGTTTGGGGGTGGTGGTAAGTTGTTCATTCCCAACAGGATGACAAACGGCTCCGCTCATTGTCTCCACACGTTGGTAATGACTGCTGTCTATAATCAAAATACTACACAACTGTGTAAAAATGAAACGGAGTGAGGCTGAACTAAACTTCTGGTGGCTGATCTACTCTGCTTTGCTTTTTTCCAGACTTACAACACAAACGAGGAACTGAGGACGTTTTACAAGGTCCTCTCCACAAACACAGATGGAAACACGGAGTTTGTTTCGACGGTGGAAGGTAGTTTTAACACGGTGACGTCGAGCTGCTATAGAAACGTTTACAGCAAAGTCACACTGTTGCCGTTCCTCTGCACAGCTTATGATTACCCAATCTATGGGACGCAGTGGCATCCAGAGAAAAATGCATTTGAATGGTCAAAGCCTTATATTCCTCATTCTCCGTCAGCAGTGAAGACCACCTTCCACATGGCTGATTTTTTTGTCAGTGAAGGTGTGTAAGTCAAAGTAGTTTGGAGTACCAGTACTGAGTATTTGCAGTTTTGGTCTTGAATTTTGGTTTGTAAATCCCGTGTTCTCTCTCTCCCTGCAGCGAGGAAGAACTTTCATCGATTTGAATCGAAGGAGGAAGAGAACAAGGCACTGATATACAACTACAACCCTGTTTACACAGGGACCACAAGTGCCTTTGAGCAAATTTACTTTTTTTGACGTCTCTTCATGAGCACTTTTCCTCCCGTTGTTAATTAAACAAGCAGGGCGCTCCTCCCTGTCGATAAAACCGAATGCCCTGCCTACCGGACTGCCCCCCTCCCCCAGTTGACATCTTCCGACACTGACGTAGCGCTAGCTAAGCTAGCGGCGCACAATGCAGACGTGCTAGCTAACGAGCTCGAGGTAGCGCTCCGTTTCCCTCACGCTGAGCCGTCTGCCAGTGCAAGTAAACTAGGGGAAACACTGCTTCATTACTGCTTGAATTTTCTTTTTCTACAAATAACTTTGGATTTGTTGCTTTACATTTGTTTAATCTATAAATGTTCTTAAACGATAGATCTGACTTGTAATGGAAATATTGTAGCGATGCAGAATTTGAAAACATTGCCAGATTTACAATAGTTTAATGAAATGCACATTTTAAGGCCTTCTTACCTCTGAAGTATGATTTTACTCTGCTGCCCGTCTTCACATGGTGACCAACGTCGTCATGACAAAAGCGATGTACGGGCACAATTATGTGTACTGCAACCTTTGCGCTTTACTTTTTCTCAGGGTCTAATTAATCTTGTTTTAATGCTGTTTATTATGTGCCGGCCTCAGGGGCTGAAACACTTGTTTGATTGTTGCTGTGGTTGTGTGCACTTTCCAGAGTACTCAGGCTAAACCTAAAAGTAAATTACCAAGTGTTGTCATCAATGTATGTTCCCACACAATTGGTTCTCTGCATTTAACCCATCGCACCTGGGATACACCCAGGTGGAGCAGTGGGCAGCTATGTAAGCACCCGGGGAGCAATTCGGGATTAGGTGTCCTGCTCAGAGACTCCACAAGATGTGGGAATGGCTGGGGATCGAACCTGGGACTTTCGGGTCCCAGGTCGGCTGCCCTACCTCTACCCCGTCTCTGATCTGGAGACTGGACCAGGTTCAGTGTTGGTTCATTAATTATAACTAAATGGATAAGAGAATATTTAATTTACAATCAGCACCACAAGTGTGCCCTATTACTGTATATTGTACACGCAAAATACTTTCACTAATTGTCTAAAAAGTGAAATGGGTGATCTAAATAAGTAAAGTCAGGTCCTTTGGACGGATTCTTCGCGTTGAACGTTTTGTCTTTTGTCCAAAAGACTGAGGAGCTGCATTAAACTCAGTCTTCTAAATAGCACCTTCTCATCGTGGATCAAGCAGTTTGCTGATGACAGCCAGAACTAGCTGTTCAAGTGCAAAAGGATCAGCATCAGTGTAACAGTAGATTGTTGGGGCCTGATGTCCTCTTGCTGTTCACAGAGGGCCGAGTGATGGTAATAACATCATTGTAAGAAGATGACAATTGGACACGGAGGCCTCCACCCGTTTAATGATGGATGGTTTTTCTTGACAAAGATGGCTTCCTTCACGTCGCTCACTATGTGAAGGTGCGTTTTACAGGACTTAGTTTATTGCAGCTCCTCAGACTGAAGTCTTTTTGGATAAAATATGAAACCTTTCAACAAGAAGATTCTGTCTAGAGGGCCTGACTTACCATTGTTAGATGTTTGTACCTGCATGATTTATGCATGATGCATCAGGGTATGAAATGGGTGATGCTTAACAAAGGTCTTGGTGAATTACACTCTTGGTGTAAGAGTTATTACTTTGGCTGCAGTTCTGTTATCGGTGGTATACCTTAGTTGTGATGCTTTTAAAAATGTATTAGCAGCCATTAGTTTTTAATTCTTCATTACCTTTGTCATCTTTGGCAACATTCATTAGTTATTTCCATTGATTGGGTTGGATAATGCTACACCTCTTCTGTTTGCAGACTCGTGCTGTAACTTAGGGTTTATGCTGGTGAAGATTCTCAGTCATCCAGGACATGGTCAATTCAAAAAAGTTCAAGACAAAAACAACTGGACTTTGTCACAGAAGACGTCTTGCTTCTCATCCGAG